CAGGATAGACAGCACGCACACCTTCTACTCTGTACGAGCAGTCAAATCCTGGAGTTAGCTCTCAGTTGAGGTGATCCAGGTGACTTTCCTGGGAGTTCTTCATGAGGAAATTTGACATAATCTTATGGACTCAAAGCAGTATTTCCCTATAACTTGCTGATATTTCTTTCTTGTTTGTCTAATATGCCTAAGTCCATACCTGGAGGAATCGGTGATCCACTACTACTCTATTTGAAAGTCCATTGAGAGAAAGCTTGTACTAACCCATGCACTACCGTTTGAAACTATTTGTCATCAGAAGCGGTATGATTAAAGTTAAACACTACTTAATGTGAATTACTTAGGAGGTAAGTTATCAGTCAGGTTTATGATGCCATAGGTCACAATTCGTCTCAAAATAAGCAAACCAGCTACCGTCACAGAAAAAGCTCGTTTTTTTACGGTTAGGATCCAACTACAAGCGCTCTGTACACGATGTTTACAGTGAAATGAAATAGAACGAATACATAACCCCCTTTTTTATTACCTTCTATAACGTCTATTTGAAATTAAGTAGTGTAGAGTGAATTTGTAATTAACCACCAAATATCTCGTTATATTCGTGTATGTTGGTTATAATTAAGCATTAATGCCTGATCGTAATTGTCCATGAAGAAATTATCTCTGGGTTGTTTATGAACAAGGAAGGACCTGTGTAATATCTTAGCCACTCAAGCTCCCAACTTTGGGGAACAACCCGAAATTTCCCTAAATTTTGGGGTTTTGGTAGCATTACTTCAAAATTTCCCAAAAATGGATCAAATTTTCTTAAAAATCGGAAGCTTGGGTACGTTCTCACATTACGTATCTGTTTCACATGGAGTGTCCTCCAACCAGTGTATTTGTAATTTTGTCAGCAGACTGTCAATAGAGAATGTTGGAAGACTGTAATTATCCACGAATTACCTGCTGATAGGATAGGTGACAATATAAGAAAGCATGGATTAATACGCGTTAGTTCTCTGTTAATTTTTACGCCTTACCACATCTACTTTTACTCAGTTTCTTACCTGTATATTAAATCACTTTTAATTAGGTCTTAGTGCATTTCAAAGTGTGATTCCTCTCTTCCCCATATTCTTACTATTCCATTCGGTTTCGTACGTTAAGCCAAACCGTCGTTTAGTGACGTAACGACTACTTGTGATAGCAGTCTTATTATCTGATAATTTGGAAACATGCAATTTTTCCATGTTAAATACTATTCTGGCTACTGACCACTGACTCTGACCTCAAATCATTCTCGGGCTTACGCAACAGTTTAGTCTCGTCAGCAGCTACTACTCAACCACATCTTATTATATGTATTAACTATCGGTCAGCATTCTCTTTTTTCATATTAGAAATAATCATTTAAAATCCTCAGCTACATGACACTGAGAAACGAATGTACAATATTTTAGAGGTTATTTATAGTCCATCCAATTTATTTATTTATAATTGTCTAACAATCATATTCTCAACTAACTGTTCAGCGTAGTTAAACGTTATTTGTTATTTCACATGATACTCTGACTTTGAAACTGACTAAAAACTCAGCAAAGTGATTGTGTTTAATGTGACGTGTTGGAATGAAATGTAATTTTTCTACACTATCATCCATTTTCGAGTGAAATTTGGGACAATTAACACTAACTGTCTTGTTACTTTAGGTTTGTCCCATGGTCTTATTTGTTTGTCCTCTAGTTGTTTTATACTTTTATTTTGTTATATACGTTGTACTAAGATATATGTGATCATAATCAAACAAGTAGGACTATGACCGAAAATATATACCTGGTTGGAATCTGTGTAATAGTTGTGAACAGTAGTAGATCGGAGATAAAAATGGCCTGTACTTCGTAACAGTAGTGCAGACGCATTTATTCTTTAGCGCCTTTTAAATATTTGACATCAACAATATCCTATTTTTACTCGTCTCTTATTTTTGAGTCAGTTTTTAAACCCTAACAAACTTGGTCATTCAGTACTTAGGAAAGATAAAGAGTGAATGCATATGCACCATTGCCAATGATTTTTACCCATGTCACCCAAAGTCTTTAGCCATTGGTTACGATAATCAAATGGACTCCAACTAAACAACCCTAACTTAGTCCAGTAGTTAATAATTTCATGGTCTAAAACCACATCTTGGTTATTCCACTACTAGCTTCCTCTCAACCTATTTTTACACCAACCAACGTTGCATGCTGAGGTATTCAGCAGTTAGGCATGCGTAATACATATCCCAACCACTTCAGTCAACAGGGATTTACCACCTCGTCAACCGGCTTGCTATCTTATTCTAGTACCGTTTACCTAACTTAAAAACTACTAATTAAGTGGTCTCAATATACATAAGTGGTACTTCGAAGACACCTATGATCGAGTACTAGTAGCCAACGAATATCCTCTATTCTTAAAAGCTCTGTTTCACATGCATAAGATAAAATAAAGAGTATAGTTAAACAGTGAAGTCGTTCTTTGGTTTTCAGTTGAGTATGTTGACTACACTAGCATAGGTTGGCAAACACCAGCTAAGCTTTTGAATCCATGCCGAGATTTGGTCAGGCATCAGGATTAATGAGACCCCCAGTATAAGTGAAGCAGTCGAAGCACTCAATGAACTCACTCTGTCACTAATTTTGGACTTGATGCAGACTGGTTCTAAGACAATATTTTGCATTTGGAGGGAAAGAATCTAATCCGAAATACTTGCACTGTTGCTTAAGATGGTCAGGAGACTGCCAAACTTTGTTTTTGGGCTTAATTTACATGGCGTGGATATATTTCCGAAATGAGAGAATGAAGGCTTCATTATCGACTTGTTGTGTTCAACCTATTTGACCTACAGACATGGATACTACGCATACTACCGTAAAGAAGGGATACAAAGAGCAAAGAAAACGAAGTTAATCAAACAGTAAAATTTGTCAGGTGGTTGAGGGTGGTCGACAGGAAACCCTGGTCTCGCGCTATTCAAGATTAGTTAGCAAGATATCCATGTAATCTCAAGGAAACTGGTTTTTACTGCAGGATTTAAACCTCCATTCAGCTTCACAGTCTGAGGCGTTACCGTTAAGCTATTCGGGCTACACCCTATAAAACTAAGATATTTACAACTGGTTGATCACTGGATAGTGACTAACATTATGTATATCTAGTCCTTATTAGTGCTGATAGAATCCCATTGGTCAAGTTTCAATATGGCTACTAATACAAGTGACTCAAAATCGCGTTCAGATTGTTGAGGGGTGAATAATTGAAGGTAATCGACAGGAAACCCTAGACCTGAGTTTCTTGCTGCCTCAGTTTTACTAACAAGGTGTACATGTAATCGTGAGAAAAATGTTGCTAACTATGCAGTGATCAGTCATTTGTATTTAAAAAGTGAAATACGGACGAAAAGATTTTACAGTTCAACAGTAATGGCACAAAATATAGTCAAACAAGTTACAACATAATTAGATTCCAGTATTCCTTCACATACACCTTCCTACTCAGTTCTTCCAAACAATACTCAGTTTCTCATTATCGTTGCTACTACTTAATTCGACTTTCGCTCTTATCTCGTTTTATTTTCATCTGGTCGTGCTAATACAGTGTGGTAACTTGGACTGTGGAACATTTGTTTCCGACTTTATGCTGATTATAGTTAGTGACTGACAGTACTACACAAACCCGCATATCTCCCAGATGATTGTGTGCTAATTTTGAACTAGCGTTGCAGGAGGTCCACTTATCGACTTAGAATACGCAGATGATATAGTCCTGTTTGGCGAAGACGCTGATAAGACGTAGTCTATTGGTATCACTGAGCAACAATACCAGAATGTTTGGAGTGCGCTTCTCCCCCTTCTGAATTCAAGTTATTTCTCCAGGACTGGCTTGCGTCAACACCTGAACTAAGGATATGGAGTGAAGTAGTTGAACGCGTCGACAACTTCACTTATCTTGGAAGTCTGATCAGCCCAAATGGGTTCGTGTTTGGTGAAATTTGTGCACGGATTCGGAAGCTCGTTTGGCTTTTGCCAACTTACATCACTTATGGCGGAGGCGAGATATCCATCTTTCAATTAATGGACGAGTATACTGTGGGGCATTTCGTTCTGTTCTATTTTATGGCTACGAAACATGGTCATTAAGAGTAGAAGATACTCGTAAGCTACTAGCATTTGACTACAGATGCCTTAGAAATATTGCTGGGATCACCGGGTAAGTAATAGTGAGGTTAGACGTAGGGTATTAGGGAATGATGATGGTAGATCAGTTGATGAGGTTGTGAATCTTCATCGACTGAGATGGTTGGGTCACGTGTTGCGTATACTTGAACACCAATTACCACGACGTGTAATTTTGACTGGTGTTATGGATGATTGAAAGATAGTTAGGGGCTGCCAGATCAAAACGTGGCATCGGTTCTTGAAGTCGCTGACTTCTAATCTGAGCCATGTTGTTAGATGCAGAATACTTGGTTAGGGTCCGCGCGACTATTTGTAACCAATGGTCGGAGACTATGATGTGGCTCAGAATTGACCACAAAGTCGTCGGTGTATACACTCTCTGTCTTCCCCTAAACTATGAGATCAAAATCGCTTCATTTCTTTCTTTCTACATACTAAATCTTTCTTCCTACACAATGTCCTTATATGCAATCTTTCTTTTATATATTACCACAATTGAATTAACTACTTCTGTGAATCCGGTGTTCATCTTGTTGTGCTAATGGGTAATGTATGACAACTTGGACCGATGCACATATGTGGCTAATTCTACGTTGTAGCTGACTGAGTTTATAAGTTTAATACTAGGCGTACCAACTAGTCCAACTGTTACGTGAAACTGCACTGTTTACAATATTCTTCTTGTACTTGTTTTTAAAACATTCTATATGCTTAAAATGTTTCACTAAATGTTAATATTATTTAGATAATTATCAGCTGTGCATCAGTGTGGTTTATTACTAAGAAATATAAAAAGACATGTTAGAGAGATTAACAAGGTATGGATAAATTTTTCAGTAGTATAATAATCGCAATAATTAGCTTGTTTGTGCAAAGTTTATTTGTTCAACCAAGAACTATCAATCCTTTTGCTGGACTGCATACATCATCAATTACCATGTAGGTTATGTCAATTTCAAAAATAGTTGAATCTTTCTCTATTATTATTATTATATAGGGCAGAACCTTTAAAAAAGAAGAAAAGAGTTGGCGTAGCTGATAGCCAAATTCAAGTAACTAGAAAAGTTAGAAGAATTGAAAAAGAAATCAAACGCCTTAATCGTTTCGATCGAATATTAAGACCAATTGAAGAAATAGAAGGAGATCGTCAATTAAAGAAAGAAATAAAGTAAGCTATTTTAAAAATTCAGATTTCCAGTTTCTCTTAGCACACTGAAAGAATTGTTCAACATCAATATCATATTATTACCAATGCTTAAAAAGTTATTAGTCAAATTGTAAAACGTACTGATCTACTTAATGTAGAAAATATACTGACTGGCTTACTTACACTGAAGTTGTCTGTTACATATTGGGACAACCTCATTGAGCTAGGACATTTGCTCCATGAAGTTTTATAATGCTAGGCAGGTTAGCTGCAAGAATGGTAAGACCAAGAGCAGTAAACCCCAAGGTCTAATGACGGAATCGTACTGTTGTTAGTTTCACTAGGGTGTGGCTGTAGTAATGTTTCGCACAAATCTCCAGTCTTACCATGAACTAAAGGAAGGTTCTAAAAGGGTTATCTTTGAAATTAACATAACCCCAAAAGCTTCCACTGTCATTAGTAAAGTTTAAAATGTACAGAGTTCATCTAACCCAAACGACTACTCACAAAATATCAGGTGTAAACAATTTGAACAACGATATTCCAGACTAACAAGGCTATGAATATCAACCTAGGTTCGCTCGAGTAAACAGATGGACAGTTATGATTAACGCAGAACCTGGCACTGATTTGTGTTATCTCAGATCCTCATTACATTAGCACGATGAAATGAAGTTAACAGCAAGAATAGTTAAAGAGCTGAAACAATATATTACCAATCATAGTAAGAAACACTAAACATTTGAAAATATGATTCGAAAAGGCAAAAGAAAAATGTATGTAGGAAGGAATACTAAGGCTCACTATCTAAACCAAGATGAAGGCAACACATCAGCAACGTTTTGACTAATTCTGAGATTCTAACCATTGATCGGCCAGATCCTAAACAGATAGTCTGCATTCACTAATATAATTCAAACCAAAATTTAATGATAATATATTTTTGTTATATCCCAATGAGTAGAAAAGTTAGATTTTCTAACATTTCGTGACTCAGTGTAGGCCAAGTCTAACCTTGGTAATGATACTTACAAAAGTTAATGGTTTCATAGACTGACCCTATACTTTGGTTTGATCGCTCTTAGCTTTCTCCCAAACTACTTGTACACTAGACAACATTGAGATAGATAGTGGCTATTTAATAGTTTAATTCATGAGTTAATTAAAGCAAAAACACCATGCAAAAACCTGAAAGCACTGGATTCAATTCCCACGGGCAGGATCGTGGACGTGCACTGCTAAAGAGATCCATACTAGGACGAAACGGTCGTTCAGTGCTTCTAGGTTTTCCATGGTAGTCAAGCTTTAGTTAACTCATGAATTTAATTATTAAATTACTATAATATCCACAAAACCCCTTTCATATAGTGGTTAGTTAATATTCTGAATAATATATGTGATTAGTTGAAGACTTCGAGGTCACAATCGCCAATAATTGTTTTATCAAGCTGATTAGTGATCATATTTATTTATTTATTTTAACACATAGGTATTGGTACAAGGAGGCACCAAATACATATGTGCCACACAGATCTCAATTGATTTGTGTGAGGGCTGTGATACTGCCAGGGTGCCCAGTCCGAAGCAGGTGGTTTTCTTAGGGGACCACACTCGGAGCCTTTGACCTGAAGATCTGATCCACAAGGAAGTGGAGCATCGTGAGGAGATGCAGTCCCATGGTAGCCAGCCCGTGATCAACAACTGGTTCATACGCCATTTGTTCCTTCAGGAGACTGGAGACCATGTACACCATTAGTTTGGGATCCGATTATAGCGCCGGATATTCGCTTTTCGTCCTCTCATTTTTGTAAACAACACCCCCGCCACGAGAAGGCAGTGAGTAGGACTTCCCTGGCAGAGGCTATATACGCGTGGCCGTGTGAGAGCATTTCAAGAGGGAGTGCGGGCCCACCCCACTCTCAGCCGTACCAGGGCATTTGGGGGCAATTAGTGATTATAGCAACGTTTAGAATCAAAATGTATGTAGTAAATCTAAAAGTATTTTTAAACTTGTAACTTAATTTAAAGATTTTCCATTACACATACATCTATGTTATTGTAATCATTATTATTGTTGTTTTCTTTTCTTTTATAATTTTTTCAGATTACGTCAACGTCCATTAATAGATATTAGTGAAACAGAATTAGATGAACGAATAAGTATTTGGAAGAATTGGACACGTTATCAAGGAAAAATAGCACACAATGAAATGATTATGTATAGTTCAGCAATTAATGCACAAGAGAATGCTTTAAAATGGTTATATAAAACATCACCTCATTTATATAAAGAAGCTATTCAACCTTGTCCTGAATTAATTCAATTATCAGAATTATCAATTAATAATAATAATAATAATAATTCAGAACTAATCAAACAAAATCAAATTCATTATTTCACAACAATAATAGGTCCATATATAACTGCACCAAAATTACATGGAGAATTAATTAATTCCACTAAAGAATATGAACCACCAGATGGTGAACAAATAGATACAACAATTCAATTAACTTATGAATTTGAAATTGAACCACAATTATTAGCTCAACCAAAAAAGAAAAAATTTATATTAACAAAAAAATAAAAATGTTCAATTGTTTTTCTTTTTTTTTCTTCTTTTTTTTGTATTAATAAACAAACATAGATAAATACAAAATGTTACATAATTTTGTTTGGAACTTAAAGTTAGTTAGTTCGTTCGTTCGTTAGTTAGTTAGTTAGTTAGTTAGAATGAGTAATACAACAACACTTGACTATTTCATTTGAAAAGTGATCTCATCTAAAATAAGAGAAAAAAAAGAGATAAAAGTAGTTGTATTAAGAGGATGGTTAATATGGGAAAAAAAAAGTTAGGAGTGATGACCAAAGCAAAACATGGCATCAGTCTATGGAATTCATTGATAATTGGATCGAGACATATTAACAAGTGTAGAGTATTTAGCTAGAATTCACAAAATTATTGTAACTTGTGGCTAGAGACTTTGAATGATATGGCACAAAGTCGTTCGCCATAGCCCCCGAATGCCCTGGTACGGCCAAGAGTGGGGAGAGTCCGCTATCCCTATCGAAATGTTCTCACATGGCCACGAGTATATAGCCTCTGCTAGGGAAGTCCTACTCACTGCCTTCTCGTGGCGGGGGTTTTTGTTAATGAAAATAAGAGGACGAAAAGCGCTTTAACCGGATCCCAAACCAATGGTGCACATGGGATGGCTCTAGTATCCTGCGGGAACAAATGGCGTATGAACCAGTTGTTGGTCACCGGCTACCATGGGACTGCATCTCCTCACGATGCTCCACTGCCTTGTGGATCAGATCGAAGGCTCGGGGTGTGGCCCCTTAAGAAAACTACCTGCTTCAGTCTGCGCACTCGGGCGGTATCACAGCACTCACACAAATTAAATGAGATTTATGTGGCGCATATGTATTTGGTGCCTCCTTGTACCAATATCTATGTGTTAAAATACATAACGTTTGTAACGGTGTAAAAGTACATCTATTGTTTGTTTAAGTTTCTAAATTCCTCATGATTTTTTCTTATTTCACTAATTATTTTCTTAAATCGTATTTTCGATACCTAATCCTTCCAATTACCATTATTACTGCTACTTCACATACTAAGGGATTTATCCTGACAGTTTCATCTTGCTGTGGTGGTAATGGAATATGTCTGTTCAAACTGATGAGCACACGTGCTAGGTTCTACATTATGTATGACTGATCTTGATTAGTTTGTCGGTAGAAAACATTGGCATCCACAGTCCAGTGTAGCCACCGTTGCGTATGATTTCAGTAATCGATAAATACAGGGGAAGCTAACTTTTCCCAGGCTCTCCTTTCCAAAAACCATTGGGATGAATAATTGTCATGAATTCAGAGACGTCAAAATACTATGATATATAGCACAAAATGCGAAGATTTTTGAACACTTTTTATGAATTACTTAGTATAGACTGTTTTCTGGTAAAAATCGAACATGGATACCGAAAGCTTCTTTACGTAGATACTTCCTGGCATATTCGACCTATGTGCGTAAGGTTTTAAGAAATAATAGTAAATATTCGACGAAATTACTCATTCCGACTAATGATCTTAACATATGTAGGATAGGAAAATTCTTTGGGATAATAAATGCAAAACATTTAACTAGCTCGCATATGTTAGGACCACTGAGCGAGTAATACTGGGGTTAGACCTAGATTGTTAGTTGAAGATGGCAAATCATTTGATGAGATAGTGAAACTTCATTGACTGAACCGGTTAGTTATGTATACACAAATACCGCTTATCTTGACACGCGATACTGGATAATGTCGGGGTAAATTGAAAGTTAAATGTAACTAGACTAAAACTTGACATAAGTTCACCAAGTCACTCACTTTTAATCTGAGCCAAGTTATTAAGTGCAGACTACTTGATTGGAGTTCGCGTGATTGTCCTAAACAGTGATCGGAGACATTGGATAACATAATTCAGAATCAGCGTTGACCTATTGATTTTTATTAGATTATATTGTCTATGGTTGATGTTTTCTAATACCATTGATACTGATTACTATTACTCGGGGTTTTGTCGTGCGACGAATTGAACTGATGCACATATATTTCAGGTTTTATGTTGCTTACAACTAACTGACTACCGAAGCATACACAGGATCTGTAAGTGGATTTTTACGTCAGTGTATTATTAATTGTTCTTTAAATCTTGTCCCATATAGAGTTGTAAAGCAACAAGCTAAACAAAGGCAATTGTCTAGTAGAACTCCTAAACTCTCAATAGTTCTTCGCCTAAGATTAGTGTTTAAATAATCCCTTAAAAAAATTTAGAAAGCACAAAAAGAAAGAATAACTATAATTGAATACCTCCAAATACCCTGGTACGAGCGAGGGTGAGAAGTCAGATCTCACACGGCCACGCATATAAAGCCACCGTTACGAAATCGAGAGGACGAAAAGCGAATATCCGGTGCTTTTAACCAGGTTGGTGGATATGGAGGATCTACCTAAGAGCATTTGAAAAACCCTCATTCCAAACCAATCGTGCACATGGGCTCCAGGATCTTGAATGAACAAATGGCGTATGAACTAATTATTGGTCACCGTCTACCATGGGATTGAATCTCCTAAAGTTACTCCATTTCCTTATGGATCCAGACCTTTAGGTCAAAGGCTCGAAGTATGGTCATCCGGTCAGTATCATAGTCAACATACAAATCAAGTGACTTGTTTGGCGCATCTGTATTCGGTGCCCTTCTTATTTCTTTACCAATTATTTATTTGAACACATAAATATTGGTAAAAGAGGGCACCAAATATATATGCGCCACACAAAATTTTATTTGTGTGTAGGCTGTGATACTGCCCGGGTGCCCAAACCGAACCAGGTGGTTTTCTTAGGGGGGGCCACACCCCGAGCCTTCGACCTGAAGGTCTGACCCATAAGGTAGTGGAGCATCGTGAGGAGATGCAGTCCCATGGTAGCCAGCCGGTGACCAACAACTGGTTCATACGCCATTTGTTCCTTCAGGATACTGGAGCCTAGTGCACCATTGGTTTGAGATCCGGTTATAGCGACGGACATTCGCTTTTCGTCCTCTCAATTTCGTGAACAACACCCCCGCCACGAGAAGGCGGTGAGTAGGACTTCCCTGGCAGAGGCTATATACGCGTGGCCGTGTGAGAGCATTTCAAGAGGGAGTGCGGGCCCACCCCACTCTCAGCCGTACCAGGGCATTTAGGGGCTTTACCAAAATTTATGTATTGAAATGAAATAAATAGAGAAACAACTCACCTTATTCGATTGACTGAAATAAGTTCTCAATTTGTCAAACCATATAGTAACATATTGTTTATTATCATTATTATGATTATTATTTAAATTAATCCATTCAGTATAATCTATATATTGTGTTAATGTATATGCAACAGAAATATCAGCAATGGTTGGATAATTTGTACCAGTTAAATAGAATGGTTTATAATAATTTAAATAATTTTCAACCATTTCTCTATAAATTGAATATTTTTTTGAATCAATTTTATTATTGAATGATAATAGTTTTATACTCCATGACAACCATTGTTTAATTTTACAATATCGTAAGAGCTACAACAGTACATATATATATATATATATATATGTGATATATAAAAGAGAAAGAACAATATACCGTATATTAAATATATGATTGAATAGAATGTATACATTAACAAATACCTAATCATATTATTCAATGTATGCTAGAATCAATCAAACTTGGGTCAACTAAATATAGTTCAGTACATACACACACTGATGTCAGTCAGTCAGTCTTCTGGAGGTACCTGAAAAAGAAATTGGATTAAAAGTGGTCTTAGTGACCTGAGAGAATGACTGCAGTGTCCAAGGGACAAATGCTTAAAGTCGGTCACACACGACCTTTTTGTGGGTTATTTTCGTGTTAGCTCCGTAATTTTTGAGACCTTGTTATCGGAGACGGATATCTGTGGGATAAGGCGAGATGTGAATTTTTAAGGAAGACAGCAGCATCGCTGTTATACTGGTTGTCTGAAGGAAACACCTTACTACTGTCACACCTCTGTACAGTCAGCAGTGGGACTTCGCCTTCGGACCTTGCTTTTGCTGCTTTTAGTCCTACCGCTCTTCAACCGACATGCCTGGCATGGTAGGACCTTGAGGAACGATTGTTCCAGCCAGTATAGCTCGATTGCTTCATCACGATAGGCAAGCCCGACCACCACGTCAAGGTAGTAACAACGGTCGGGACATACACTGATGGCTAATATTTGGTTCCTTTTTTATAGGGAAACGCAAAGATACATTATTATTACTAAAGATGAATGAACAGGTATATCTTGATTTTATTTGATCAATGAGGTTTGGTGTGTGCTACTGATGTCAATAGATATAAGTAGTATGTATCATTAATCGAAAGTGTAATGTCTGATGGCAGAAGATTGAACAAAAAGAGAACGAGAACAGAGAATGACTAATGTGGAAACGAAGAGACAATGAAATCTGAGACGATTTATTGACATTTTGCAAATGAAGTATTAACTGCATGGTTCTCAGATTTCAATAAAATGTTCTATAACTTAGTATTCAAATATATTCGATTGCCCCTACTTGTGTTCTCGTTGACTACAGCAGTATAAGATGATCGGTCGTTGAGCATGGACAAATAACCACAGTCTACAGACTACTAAATGTGTGATTTCTTTTCCTGTCATTGACCATTTCTACTCTCAAATCACTGAGATTGACTGTTTTTTGTAACTGTATTGAATAAAGTATTATCTAGTGCTAAACTAACTTTATTGTGGGGTTCTGAATCTTAGTTCTGATATAACGAACGTTTATCAACCAGCTACTAACTGTAAAAAATGATGATCACGCAAGTTAGAAAAGACATAGAAAATTGTTAACATTTTCAGTCATTAAAATACTTGGGGGTTTCCTTGTACAATACCGAAATGTTTGTTAAACTATCTAAAAGTAAACATAAATAAAGAACATATGGAACTCAAAACTGACTTTCCATCAATATCATAGTCATAATCTTCAATGCAAACATAAAGACAGTCC